ATGTTCACCTGACAAAATTAAATAAAATGCTTTGAGGGGAGCTATTTTGTAATAAATACCTCATTGAAGAAAGAAATAACATTTTGAAGATGACAATCAATTTTAGTAAGTATTAGGTTTGAATTTCAGTAGTCTTATAGATACAACTTTTTGAAGTTATGGATTAGAGCAAGAATTATACCTGATCTTTTATATAAAACAGATGTAAAACTGATTCTGTATTGGATCACTTTTTATATTCCTAATATGAATGGGCCATTCTTTTATTTTCAATTTTTGTTGACTTCATGAAGAACAGCTTTAACATTAATTTCAAGTCAGAAATAACAAATCTATTTTAGATTCTAATGTGATGTTCTGCTGTTCCTTAAGGAGAGTCCTTAAGTATTTATTGAGCACCTACCATATCCCCAACATTGTACTGCACTACTAGTTAGAGTGCTGAAAAAAGTGACATCCAATGGTTTCTTAGTGTTAAAAAAGCCTCCCATGTCATCTGGCCCACTCTCCCACACACAGTCAGTCCTCTCAGCAGTGTCACTGACATGATCTGCCGCCGCTCAAACCATCCTCTATTATACTTGTTAATAACAGCAAACACACAGCACCTACTAGATGCTGGGCCTCCTTCTGCACACTCCACAGGAGTCTATTTATTCTTCTACAACCCTATAGAGTAGATACTCCATGTTATAGAGCAGAAATCTGAGGCACAAAGAGGTTAAGAGAGCCGACCAGGATCAAAGCCTCTAAGTGGTTCAGCTAAGCTATGGACCTAGGCCATCCCACTCTGCGTCTGTCCATGTATTTAACATATACTCAGGTGTCTGAGTCGGAAGCTCTTACTGTAATCAGGTAGGAGCAGGTGAGTGTCTGAAATGAGGGAGGCAGTATGAGTGAGAAAGGTGAGAGATGAAGTGACGCCAAGGATCAGACAGCCAATTAAAGGCAGAAGCAAGCTTAGATGACTAACTGAATCTATTTGTCTTTTAGAATGTATTAGTCTGAACAATATCTATTTGGAGGAAAAGAATTAATCACATTATCAAGTCAGAGCTAGAGTGGCCATATCACATGGTTCACACCAGGACACTTTTGGGAGTAACAGTGGTACTATTAATACACACACCAGAGCAACAGTCATCCTGGTGTAATTGTGGAACTATCAAGGAAAAAGAGTACAGATGATCACCCTACTCATAGCCACCAGAAGAGGTACTCCTGAAATACTCTTGATAGAAACACCTCATGAATGAAAATTATCCTGGGTGGAAGATTCCATATTCAGGACTTGATTTCCAGCTGGGCCCCTTTGTTATGGAGTATGTCCAAGGACCAGTTCCCCAACCAACCATGACACTCAAGCCACTGTAATCATTCAGTTGTATTAAAGAAAAAAAGCATTGACTTCATTGCATTAATACATCTGGTGTCTTCTGTTTGCTCATGTCTGGTTGCTGTCTTGTAGTTGCTCCGCTCTGCTGCTGATTGGTCTGCTGGTATAAAGTACTATGAAGAGTCCATCCACACCGCTTACGTCAATGTGATAGAGAACAGCAAGCACTTTATCTATATAGAAGTAAGTCTTGTTTGTATAAATTCATATGACAGCCTGCCTTCCCATAAATGCCATACAGAGACTGCAAGGTCCCTAAACTCAGGACCTCCTGTATTAGTAAGTGTATGTTGAGATCTGAAGAGGCCTTGGGTCACCTGAATTTTGACTTCCCCAGCATACCTGACATTTACGTGGCATTGTCATCAACTCGGGACTCTAATAGGAGTCTCCCCAAATCTTTATTAAGATGTATCAACTCATTGTCATACTGTTAGCCAGAATACCCCGACATGGATGTGTAAGTTTAGGCTTGGCCTGAGCTGAAGGGTGTGTGAGGCGTGGGCTGCTTCAGTGGAGCACACACAGAGGTAAGATGCTAAAATAGAGACCACTGGACGCCAATTTGGGGATGTCGGAGTAGGGAGAGTGTGGGGAAAGGAATGTGGAAAAAGAAGATTTAAGAATATTGAGGGCAGGTACCACCTTCTTCAATTCTGTATGAATGATTATTCATTTTAAAGCTTTGTTACAGACCCTGGAGTTTGTGTTCAGAGAATAGGAGAAAATCTAGCGACACTGGATTTACTTTGGGAACCTTAATTGCATTAAAGGGTAGATCTAAGCTACCTCAAAGCACTTGGAAAATCCTGAAAAAATAAAAGTCATGACAATGCAAAAATAAATCAGAACACATCTCCCTTATTTATTTCAGTCTTTTCCATTGAATTTTTTTAAATATGTGGAGGAAGATGGAGTGGCCGGAGAAAATCATTCTAGCCCTGTTTTCCTTCCCCTTGAGTCCTGGCCCTCTCCCTTTCCCCACAGTGACAACTCATTACAGGCTAGTAGGAAAGAATTGGAGCCTTATTTATTTCACAGGCTTGGAGAAAGAGAAGTCCAATTAAAAATACGAGTAGGCTAAATGCAGTGTGATATACTGGATGGGCTCATGCAACAGACAAAGGACATTAGTGGAAAAATTAGTGAACGCTGAATGAAGTCCAGAGTTTAGTAATACTGATATGATTCGCATTATTATTTTCAATAACTATGCCATAATAATGTGAGATGTTAACAATTGGCTCACCTATGACCCAGAATCCCTTTGCTTTATCTCTTTTTGATAGACAGCTTTTGTTATTAATGCTACCCCAGTAGTAAATGAGGTCCCTAATGCCATGTCAATACACATGCCTGTGGACAGTAACCTGAAGACATGGCTATTACCGCTGGTGAGTTAAGTGGTCAGCATTCACTCTTCTTCCCCCCAAAAAAGAAGTCAAGGACATGACATGTGGCCAGTGTGTGTTACAGCTGCCGAGGATTGTTCAACTTCTTTGTTATATGAATTCAGAAAAACAAACATGGTTTGGTTGCCACTGAGGTTTGGATTGTTTGGTTGAAATACATTCTCAAAAGAGTTTCAACCCAATGTCTTATTGTAAGTTTGTCTTCTGAAAGCAGCTTACAGATGTAGGCACTTAAGTGTAAAAATGTATATAGTAATAAACATGATAATGTTGCAAAGGGATGATAATCATATATTAACTTTTGCTTATATATCTCTTTAAGGTGATTAGCAAAGGTTACTTTGTGGTGTATATACTTATAAATTATAGGTGTATTATAACAATGTGTACAACTAGAACATGCAATAGGGATAATATTTGTATCTAATTGTTAACATTTCTTTATGCAGCAGCTAAATCTTTTATACCATTATGATAATAATGTTGTATCCTTGATTTTTAGTAGCAGTGTTAAAGAATGTTTTATAGATGCATGAATAGTGGGAGCACTTAAAAAAGAAATGAAGTATTTCTCTTTCCATTTTATATATATATATATATATATATATATATATATATATATATATATATATATATATATATATATATATCTCATACACAATAGATTTGAAGCTACTTAAAATGGAAATTCAGGAATAATAGGAGACCCAAACAACTGAGATAAGGCCAAAGCAGACACTAGCCAACGATGGAGAAAGGGTGGAGAAAATTAAACCAGGATTCTGCTATCTACACTGTTAAACAAGTGAACTTAGCATGAGATACAATGTTTGCCAATGTAGAATTTTTAATCATAAGCATTTACACAATGTGTGGATCTGAAAAAAATTGATTTTCCTATTGATTAAATTGGGAATGTTCCTATCATTCTAAGAATGTAATCTACAAGGAACTTGCATGATGAAATAATGGCTTAGCCTTGCCCTTCACTAAGATTCATGAGATCCAGAGCGAGATGAGGCTTCTTTTATTCTCAGTGTCATTTACTTTCCTAAGGTGATTTCGGGGTTCAGGACATGTCTGCTGTGTGAAACACCTTTTAAAAATATCAAAGTAGATTTTCTTATATGCCACATTTTTCCTTGTTTGCATACTGCTAAGGTAAGATAGACTTATGCGATTATCCCATTTATTTCTCATAGAACCAGTTTTTTATAAGCTGCTCTGATGACAAGGTTGTGTTCAATAAGATAGGCGACGCCATTGCCCAGAGGATACTGAAAGCTCACAGGTAAGTTTTTGGCATTTTGGTAGGAGTTGTGACTGCAGATATTCTTGTATTTACTGCGGAAATGACTTTTGAAGGCCCACTTTTTAAATACTGCCCTTTTCTAGCAGGCATGAATTGGTTCAGCTAGCAGTAGGTTCCTTAAATCTGAGTCAGTTGCTGAGAATTTTTTAGTCCTTTTTTGAGGGAATCTGAGTTCTTCCAGGGCACAGTCATTTTTTCCTGGCCAGTCTCTTTCCCATGCAGATTAGTAATTTGATTTACTTAATGGCAGACAGTGAGTTGTGTTCACTTAAAAATCAAAGCAAAATTGTAATAGTTTTTTTCCACGAGCTATATTTAAATTCTTATTACCATCTGTCTTATTTTTTCAGCTCATGAGATTATTTTTTTAAGAACGCTTTTTTAAAGATAAAATTCACATACCATACAATCTACCCACTTGAAGTGTACAATTCAGTGACTTCTAGTATAGTCACAGAGCTGTGCACCTAATCAATTTTAGAACATTTTCATCATACCCGAAAGAAGCCCTATACCTTACTCACTACCCTCTCTTCCTTTAGCCCCTGGCAACCACTACTCTACTTCCTTTTCTGTAGATATGCCTAGTCTGGGCATTTCATATAAATAGAATCACACAGTGTGTGTTCTTTTGTGGCTGACTTTTTTCACTTTATATTCTCAACGTTCATCTATGTTATAGAATGTACCAGTATTTCATCTGTTTTCATTGTCAGGTAATATTCTGTTATCTGACTATGCTACATTTTATTTATCCATTCATCAGGTGGTAGATATTTGGGTTCTTTCCCCTTTTAGGCTATATGAATAATGCTGCTATAAACATTCTATACTAGTTTTTGTGCAGACATTTTTATTACTCTAAGGCTGGAATTGCTGGGTCATATGGTAACTTTGTTTAACATTTGGAGCACCAGGATGTTTTCCAAAGCAGCTATACCATTTTACACTCCCGTAGTGTATGAGGGCTTCATTCAGTTTCTCTATATTGTTGCCAATACTTATCTTTTTTATTATAGCCATCCTAATAGGTGTGAAATGGTATCTCATTGTGGTTTTGATTTGAATTTCCCTAATGACTCATGATATTGAGTATTTTTTCTGTTTCTTTATTAGTCATTCATGTGTTATCTTTGGGAAAATGTCCATTCAAATGCCCTGCCCATTTTTAAATTGGGATGTCTTTTTATTGTTGAATTGTAAGAGTTCTTTATATATTCTGGAAACAAGTCCATATCAGATTTATGATTTGCAAATATTTTCTCCCATTCAGTGTGTTTTCTTTTTTCTTTCTTGATAGTGTCCTTTGAAAGACAAAAGTTTTCAATTTTGGTAAAATCCAGTGTATCTGTTTTTTTCTTTTATTGCTTGCTCTTTGGTGTCATAGCTATAAAACCGCTGCTTAATCCAACATCATGAAGATTTACTCCTGCTGTCTTCTAAAAATTTTATATTTAGTTCCAACATATAGGTCTTTGACCCATTTTGAGTTATTTTTTGTATATGGTGAGAAGTCCAACTTCATTCTTGTGCATGTGGGTATCCAGCTGTTGTTCCAGATCCATTTGTTCAAAAGACTATTCTTTCCCCACTGAATTATCTTGGCATCCTAGACTCTTTCTTTTTATGGCTGATTTTAGCTCTGTGTAAAAGCAGCAAAACAAACAAGCAAACAAAACCATTATACTTTATTATTTCAATTTGTTGCGGTATATACATATTTGTATATACATATTTGGAGATTCAACGTTTTCTGACTGTCAGTGTCACGTGGTACTTTAAAATCTTTTTGTCACATGATATGTGTGGACTTTCAGACCTAAGAACATTTTATAACAGCAACTACCAGCATTTTTTATGATTCACAGTTTATATCTACACTCTTGCTTAATCTTCCTTTTTTTATTTATTTTTTTTTTATTGGGGAATTGGGCGATGGGAACAGCACTGGG